GCCTCGCGGGTGCGTAGCGTTCTCACACCGCTCACTGCTCCCCCGTGTCCTCCTTGTGGTCGTGGATCGAACCCCCTTTCCGTCATTTTCCGGAGCCTTGACGAAGGAGCGGAGATAAACCCAGGAGTTCGATTGGCCACGTCCCGCTGGCAGTCTGCCGCGATTCTGCGACACAGTAATTCTCCAACCGTTTTTGCCAGAGGACCCGTCACGTGCTTAAAATGCCTGAAGACCCAAGGAGGTCTGGTTTGTGTTGATTATAGCTCTCAATATTTATCGTACTAAAAAGTTAAAGCGGAAGAAGTTATGTTTGCTTATTCGCTCAAAATAGCAGTAACGTGACGGAAGACTCTGGGGCAGCAGAGGTCGGTCGGGTTCCCGTATCTGCAGCTCCATTAGCCCACTGTGGTGTCTCACGTCGTGTGGCCTCAGGAAAACTCACTGTCCACTCGCAAAACAAGAGACAAATAACCTTTTGCTATTATCATGAAAACAGTTTGACGCGAGACCCTCTGGAAGAGCTGTGGGGAACCCTCAGGGTGCCTTGGATCACGCTTTGAGGACCGTTGCTCTGAGAGCCTGTTGTTGATCCGCTGTGAACTTATCAGGATCTAGCCTAGATCTGCGGTCCTCAGTGTCTTGATGTGTTTTGTTTGTTTGGTTGGTTTTTTTGTCTTTTTAATTCTCTCCCCGATTTCTAGACATAGATGAACTGGAGGATCCAGAGTTTGGGGTTGAACCCCTTCCTGCGGAAGCTGAGAGCAATGCTGACTCGAAAGGCTGCGGCTGGTAATTAAGCTGCGCGGGCAGGGGGCTCGCCGGCCCGGCCTCAGGGCCTCGGCGCGCAGGGGGAGCTCGCCGGGAGATAAGCCACGCAGGACGCGCTGGCCGCACGGGGGCAGCTGGAGTCTTCTCTGTTTTAAGTTTGAAGAAAAAGCAGGATGCCGCTGCTCTTCGGAGGGTGAAGAAAACCGGTACCCAGGACAGGGCTCAGGTTCTGCGCCTGCGGAAGGACTTGAGCTCCCTGGATAAGCTGGGAGAAGAGAAAGGCCTCCTCATTCAGAAAACGACGTGAGCGGGCACGGGGTGGGCGGGGCGGGCGGCCCGAGTCTGCCCCCTGCAGGCCAGGGCCTGGGGCTGGCCCTCTAGGGTCCTGCTGGGCTGGACCTCCTGGTGGCCCAGTCTCCACAACAGCTAGGTGGGCAATGACACCGATTGTGTGTTCCCTAAACGTCGATGAGGAAACATTTCAAACGTGCAGAAAGGTTGGGAACAGCACAGCGGTCACCGGTGACCTGCCACCCAGACTCACCATGTACCCTTAGCCATCGCTTCCGTCTGTGTGTGTGCGTGCGTGTCATATCTGTGATATTTTTGCAAAGCTCTTAGACAGAAAGAGCAGACATCAGGACACGATGCCCCTGACTTCCTCAGTGTGTGCGAACAGACGCACCATCACTGCACCTGAGAAGCCAGGATACCCCCCCATGTCGTCACGTAGCGAGTCCCCCGTGTCCTGCACGTGTCTCTTACAGCCGCTGCTTTGAGTTTCGTTCTGTCGTTTGAATTGAGGTGACAGGCACAGTGCCGACTGCTGTTTTGAGCCAGGATTCAGCACGGGCCCCCACACTGGTTTGGCTGTCCTCCGGGTCTGTGGTCCGGACACTGCTGAGGCATGGCCTGTGCCCTCCGTCCCCCCCGACCAGGCCACGCCGGGTGCCCTGTACCCTCCCGAGCTGGTTCACAGTCATTCCCGCTTGGCACAGGTCACACAGGTGGCTCCCCAGCAGGGTTTTCGGAAAACAGATGGACTGGCCCCCGAGGCTGAGGAACAGGCAGAGGCGCCCTGGGGAGAGGGAGGCAGAGGGCCGGGTTCCAGGAGCCACTGACCCAGACCCTGGCTTCACCTCTCAGCGCGGAGCTGCACGCTTGCCGCCAGCGGATGGACCTCATCACCAAGCAGCAGGAGAGCGTGGCGGCCGAGATGGCTGCGGAGAGAGAGGCCAACAACACGTAGGTCATCTGCTTCGGTGGCAGGCGGGGCGGGCGGCCACGGGGAGCAGACAAAGCTCCCTCTAGTGTGGGACACAAACACAACCCAGAACGGACAAGGAGAGTCAGGTGATCCCAGGGACAGGAAGCCAGTGGCCGTGGGGCCAGGACGGGCGGTCACTCTGAAGCAGGTGGCCAGGGCATGGCTCCCTGAGGAGGCGACCTCCAGGCTGGGACCCAAGTGACAAAAACGAGCTGCTGTGCAGTGCTTCGGAAAGAGCATTCCGATTGTGGAGACCGTGTGAGGCCCCCGGGAGCCTCCCGGGGGGCGGGGCCGGTGTCCTGCGGACAGTGGGACGGGACGTGGGGTTGGGGGAGACGGCCAGGGCTGGCTCCTCCAGTGAGGACACATGCCTGCAGCTCCACGGCCTCCGGGCAGTGTCACTGTAGACCCCTGCCCTTGGAGGGGGTCTTGGGGCAGTGCACCTCTCTGTCCTGCTGCCCCCAGTCCCCTCCCGCAGCCACCCGCCTCGCCACGCTCACAGATCATCGTATCTCAGAACGTGGCGTCTCGGATGAGGAGGGAGACACGGTGGGAGAACCTGGAACCAAGGGGCCGCCCCGTGGCCTTCTGGCCACGCGCTGCTTCTAGTCATTCAGAGAGTGTGCTGCTCCTTCCTGGCCTGAAGCCGGGACGGGCCTGCCGCTCTGGGGCTGGCCGCCGGGGACCCGCCAGGAGAGAGAGGTCCGCAAAGAGCTGGTGTGGCTGGGGGTCACGGGGGCAAGCCAAGCCCACCGCGGCCTCGCTCATCAGCGTGGGCACTTTCTCTGACACCACCCTGCCTGCCTTCCCCGTGGCCAAGGTAGACAGATTTCTCTCTGGAAAAGGGAAGGGCCTGGTCAAGGCATCACCAGCTAAGCCGGAAGGACACGGCGCGTGGCCTCGAGGGCGGCGGGCGGCTTGCTCCCGGGCAGCTGAGGCCGTGATGCACATCCGTGTCCCTGCTCCTTTTCCGCTGTGGCTGTGACGCTCCAGGGCAGCCGTGGGCCGCCTCCAGGCCGTGTCCAGACGCCTGTGTACCGAGCTGGAGAACGAGAGAGACCTGCAGGCGAAAATCGCGGCCACGCTGAAGGACAACCAGTAAGTTCCGGGCAAGCAGGGACCCCGGGTCGTCGGCCTCGGCCGGCCGGCGGGCTCGCCCCAAGCGGCCTGCGGGTCAGGTCCTGGTTTGAAGATGAGTGAAATGTTGACACATTTTCACTTGACTTTCAAGCCGCCTGAAAGTTTAAAGGGAACTCGTCAAGCCAAGTCCTTGAGAGGAGAAGGCGTCACGTTCCGACGTGCTGTTCGCCTCCTCCGTGCTGCTTTGCGTTCTTGGGGGCTTTGAAATCAGCCTCTTTCTCCTCTTGCCGTTTTCTGCTCTTCGAGCTTCCGTGACCCGGCGCCGCTCTGAAGGGCCCCCGACGCTCCCGGAAGCGGGTCCCGCGGGGAGAGCGGTGGCAGTGTTCTGACCACCTCAGCGTCAGGGTTTGGTTGTAAACGTCGGGATGGCCTCTAGCTAGTTTAAGGGGAAAGGGATTTAGTGAAGGGTACACAGAACTAGAGAACCGACTGGGCCGGTCCCAGGACTGACACCCCAAATGCAGGAGCCAGTGCCCTCACGGGAAGCAGGAGCCAAGGACCAGCTTGCATCCGGGGGCCGGGGGCCAGGTCACATGGTGCTTCGGCCTGAATCTTGTCTTACCCCGGGCGCTAGCCGTTTGGAACATGCTCTGAGCTCTCCGCCCCGCCGTGCAGAAAGGCAGACGCAGACGGCCGGCAGCTAGTGGTGACCCCACCGGTGACCCTCCCATGCCCTCCCACGAGTCCGCCCATCAGGCCCAGAATCCGCCTTGTCTCTGACTGGTCCCTGACCACCTGGGTCCTGTGGGCTAAGTCATACTGTGCCCTCCAGAGACTAGTGTGGAGCCTCAGGACAGTGAAGATGGTGGGTCCGGGAGTGAGGAAGAATGGGGGCCCCTGCATGGTCCCGGTTTTCACAGCTGGCCGCCAGGCCAGGGCCCACCGCCCAGCACTGGAGCTGGGCAGCAGCCTTTCCCGAGCTTTGAAAACCCCTGGGGTCCCGCCCTTGTCAGGATGCTGGGACTGTCCATTTACTTAAAACAAATTTTTTTTTAAATTTTGAGACAAACTTACAGAAGATGCAAAAATAGCACAAAGAACCCCAGGTCCCCTTGGCCCCTGTCATCACAGAGACGGTGCCGCATGGGTCGTCTCGTCTCCAATCAGGGGGACCCCTCCGCGACCCCGTGACGCTCCCACTCTGAGGTTTTTGAAGATTACGGGCCAGTGAGAGTCCCTCACGCTGTCTCTGTGTGACGTTTCCTCATGAGGGCTGGCGGGGACCCCCCCTGCCCCCCGAAGGCCCTGGCGGTGCTATGCCCTTCCTGGGCACCTTCACCTGGCGGTACCTGGTGGTGATAGGGCCCGTTCCCGGTGGGGGCTTCGAGGGAGGCGGAGCCCGCCAGGCCCCTCCGCAGACTCGCGCCTCCTCTGCAGACTGACTGGGGGGAGCCGTCCTTGCCGGTCCTTGCCCCGTCCCTGCCCGACCCCGCCCCGTCCCAAACTGCTTTGCATCGTTCCTGTTTCTCGTGGAGTCGACTGTGACCACGGGCCACAGGGTGGTTTCCAGCGCCATGGAGTCGACTGTGACCATGGGCCACAGGGCGGTTTCCAGCGCCGCCGCGAGGGACCGTGCCCTCCTCTCTGTGTTCATTCACTCGTTTATGGGCGCAGACCCCAGGCTTCTGTTTATGGGCGCAGACCCCAGGCTTCTGTTTCAGTTCGCAGACCCCAGGCTTCTGTTTACGGGCGCAGATCCCAGGCTTCTGTTTCGGTCGGGTTATAATCTGTTCCGTCATCATTCACTGTGATGCTCCAGGCCACGGGGACTTTTTCAGGCCAGTTCCCGCATGCTTTGGACGTGTCCCTGTCTTTTTTGGGGCAAGTTCTGGCACACGAGATGCTCCTGGCCATCTCGTCCAGGGAGCCCTGGTGTCAGGCAGGTAGCTGGTGGTAAGAGCCTAGAGCTGGGTGCTGCATGGGCCCAGTGCCGTTCCTGGGCCCCGAGAACACGTGCACACAGTCTGTCTGCCTGCATCGGAACCATGAGTTCACCCCCTGCTGCCCATCCATGCCGACACCCTGACCTCTGCCCATGTGGTCCCAGCCCGCCTCCCCTCCACACCAAGCTCTGCCACCTGCCTCTGTCTCACAGGTCCTCACCGTCGCGATGCAGCAGGGACCCCTCCACATGTAGCGTCCCCCGCTAGTGTCCCCGGCATACGTCGGAGTGTCCCAACAGCCCTCTGGCCAGGCAAGGGGCAGGGGCAGGGGAGGGCCTGTGGACACTCAGGGAGTGGAGGCCCAGGTTCCAGCCGGGCTGGACTTGGTGCGATGGTGGCAGGAACGGGCGGTGCTGGGGTCAGTCAGGGACACGCTCTCCAGCGACTGCAGACCCAGAGGCCTTAGAGGATTCGCTGACCTATCAGAGGTGCGCAATGTCCTCCCAGAGTGTTTGTCACAACTCGGTGCCCAGGCCCTCTCCCACCCCTGGAGCGGATGCTCTGCAGAGGATGCGGCTAGCTGCGAACTCCTTTACTGACATAAGTAAAAGTGTCTCTCATTTGCAAGGAGCATCATGTGGCACATCGCCATCCAGGAGGGGCAGCTGGAGGACGTCAGGAGGACCGTCCAAGAGCAGGCCGAGGCCGCCAGGAGGTGGCTACAGGTGCGGGCGGACGAGCAGCTCCGCCGGGAGAAGGAGGCCTACGGGAAGGCGGAGAGGAACCGGCTGCTGCGGGTCAGGTGGGCGGGCCCCACGCGCAGGCCCGGGCCTAGCCACTTCCTCCCGC